CTCAGTGCTCACACAGCAACTCTGTGCACGTGCAAAGCAGAGGAATGAAGTGGCACCGATGCGAACGAAGTGGATGTGTGTAAAATGCAGTGCATGCAAGACAAATGAAGCTTACCTTGTGGAAGTGTTTCCACGATGGTTGTCCAAATGAATAACTCCCCTTCCTTCTTCTCCAGCCAATTTTGATCATCATCCGCCTTCACCATGTAGATTTTGCTTGCCTTCAATTGATTAAATGAAAATTTGCTTTTGCTTCTCCAGTCATAATCCTCCTCCTCATCTTCCTCATCCTCCTCCGCCTCCTCCTCCTCCTCCTCCTCCTCCTCCTCCTCCTCTTCCTCCTCTTCCTCTACCTCTTCTCCGTCGACCCCGATCCATCCATTTCCAAGTCCAACGACTTTCACTCTGTAGGGTGTGCTCGGAGCCAAGCCATTAATGGTAACTTCACCCTTGTCCACGTTAGCCATTTTAACGAAATTGCCAGTAGAGTCTGGCAATGGTACCGCAAAAGCTAGTAATACTGATACCTCCCGCCCTTTCATTTCGTCGACGTCCCATGACACACCAATGCTGTTGGGACCAAGAGGAGTAGCACTTATGTTTGGCGTGTTGTCGTACTCTTCTGTCACTGAACTTCCTACAACATGTGCATTGCAGCGTTAGCACTTTACGCGCATACCATGTCGAACTAAACGAAAGGTAGTCGCACCCCTTCATGGGACGCAGTATTAGAAGTTAAGGCAGTAGAATTAGCAGCACTGCTTCTACAGTCGCGAGTGACGCTGTGGCAAATGACAAGGCAGCAAACGGCATGGAAGTGGGTGAATGTGTTGGTGAGAGATTGGATGCAGGAGAGTTGGATGAGAAGAAGTAGAGAAGAGGTGGAAAGCAACTCACCACTCGCGAGAACAAAAGCCACGAACACGATGAGGCTATGCAGAGCCACCATTTTCTCCACCCTCAACAATGCCCCGTACTCACAACGCTCGTTGCTTTTATAGTGGCAATGCGGCGTCGGCACCTTCATCCCACACACCCACTACTGCAGCAAGCGCAGGAGTGGTGGAATGGCGTAGGAGACTGCACACCAACTCCCAACCACATCGTCGTCGGTGGTGGCACACAAAGGAATATGAGGAGGATCATTGTTCCATGCGACGTCGGTACATAGCTATTGTCGAGACATGTCGGCATGTGTGCATCATTTGGAGGTTCGGTGAAGCCACATGTCCGTGCGAAGCATGCAACAGCAGGTTGGAGAGGAGAGAGTCAAAGCTTATTGCCGAACCGTAATGCAGTGTGTAGCGCTTATTTATTCGCGTTAATCATTTCGTGATTTCTTCGCCATCCGCCGCTGATGGCCAACACAATACGGCCCTATTTAACACTGGCAGTAGTTGCTGCAAAGCTATCGACTATATTCGATTTTTTGTGCGTGTTCTCTCAAAACTGTAATTGCAGGTGACACACAGCACCTTTGAATGTCAAATCATTACGACTTGCCAGCAACTACCTATCACACCCTCCCGCACAACCCGCAAGCAGTGCCAATTGACAACCAAGATGTCGTCGTAAGTCGATTCGCTGTGCATGTGACACATTGCATGAAGAGAATGAAAGGCCAATAAGACAGAAGCAGCAGAAGCACCAGAGGATGAAGAGGAGAAGGAGGAGGAAGCAGAGTGTACGGCGTAAAAGTAAGAGAGACTTAAATACGAATGCCTTTGAAGCACTCAGCGCACTGAAAGCCTCCTTGCATTTTGTGAAAGTGAAGCGTTGCACGAAAATAAGGTGGTGGTGCAAAAACCACGATCCAACCTCCGCACTGTGCCCCGAGGCCACAGCGATGTGAGTAGGATGTGCGGAGGAAGGCGAAAGATCACTCAAGCCACTTATATTGCCAAACTGTGATGCTTGAGGCGTGTTGCTCCGCCT